AAATTAAAAAAACCTTTTGGAGATAAAGAACGTGATGCAGAAAATAAAAACACGAGGTTAAATCACACAAAAGAAAGAATCTCTGACTTTGAAGACAAACCTCGATCGAGTCCAATCAACAGACAAGAATGAAAGAATAACCACTAAAAATGAGGACAATCTATAGGGAATCCTAGACACCTTAAAACAGTTGAATATCTGCATAATAAGTATTCCAGAAGGTGAGAGGCAGGTACAGGCTCAGAAAATCTCTTTTATGATATACTAGTTGAAAACTTTCCAAATTTAGAGCGGCATATTGAAACCCAAATCTAGGAAATACAATGAATACCAATAGATTTAATATAGGAAGAGTGTCTCCAAGGCATATTATAATAAATTGGTAAAAATAAAAGACAAAGACATTTTTCTAAAAATGGCAAGACAGAAATGCCCAGTTACTTACAAAGTTACTCCATTAGACTAATACTGGACCTCTCAACTGAAACAACGAGGCAAGGAAAGAATGGGAAGACAGATTTAAAACTTTAAAAGAAAAACAATTTCAGTCGAGGAAACTATACCTGTGGGAAGCTGCACACCAGCGAGTCTGCCGAGGTTTCTCAGAGAGCAAACAATTACCATGATTGGTTCCCTTCCAAAAACCTGACCTTCGAAACCTTGCTCTGATTGGCCACTAGAATCCCTCAAATTTGCATATCCGGCACCTCATGATTGGTCTAAAAGCAACCAATCATAACCCACCGTTAACAACCAATCAGGGCCCACCGTTTACAACCCACCAGAGTGTATATAACCACGATGCCTGGCCCACAGTAGCCAGACGACGACTACGACTAGGAAGACGACAACTGAAGAGCCTGAAGAGCTGAAACACCGCGCAGTCTCCAGACGACCCTGAAGATCCTGAAGAGCTGACACTGCATCATCTCCAGACGACTTGGGAGACCCTGAAGAGTTGTAACACTACATCGTCTCCGGACGACCCTGAAGAGTTGTGACACGTGCTGCTCACAGTAGACGACGCGACCCTTAAGAGCTGTGACACTGCGTCGTCTCTGTGCTGTACCGTGCTGCCCACAATAAACAGACGACACTGTCGTCTCCGTGCTGTAACACTACACTGCTTGCCCCGGCTCTCACTCCTTCACTCAGGAAACCCGTTCGGCTGTCCCCCCGGGTCGGGACATATACCCTGCAAGATTATTATTCAAATGGGAAGTAAAATTCCCAGATAAACAAAAACTAAAGAATTTATTGAAATTATACAGGCCTTTCTGGACACACTTAAGGGAATACTACACCAGGAAAACTAAAGAGAGATAAATAGAAGTACGAGAACACAAAACAATTGGGGAAAAAAATGAGAGTGACAAAATGAAGATCACACGTATCGATAATAACACTGAATGTTAATGGATTAAATTTTCCAACTAAAGGGGACCAGTGGTTAGTGTAATGGCTATGTCTCTGGACTCCCACGTAGTTGACCGTGGTTTGAGTCCTGGACCCGGTGGCTTAAACTCATGCTGGGCGCGTGTGCGTGTGTGCCCAAGATCCCGAGAGGAGAATGGAGGAGAAGGGATTGTGGCGTGGCCAACCCCCCTGGGGGGTGATTTCTCTCTTTCTGTCTGTCTCTCTCTGTCTGGCTGGCGAGCGCACGTGCCCTATAGCAAAAACCTCTCCAAATTTTTTTTTTCTAACTAAAAGGCACACATTGGCTCAATGGATAAAAAACAGGATCTCTCTATATGTTGCTTACAAAAAACATACCTCATTGACAAAGACATACATAGGCTAAATATTTTGGAAAGTAATATTTGTAGTTTCATCAGTTTATTGAACAGGAACGTATTTAGAACTTGTTTTTTAGTGTTCAAAAAACAACAACAGATTTTTAATGCAGGAACTGAATGATGATCACTATAATGGATGGAAGCCACTTCATTACAGAATTATATACTACTGTATTTTCCATCTTCAGTTTCTTAGAAGGGCTAAGGATTATTTGAACTGTTAAAGTTTTACAAATCTCTAAGACACCTCTACCCATTTTCTCTCTTGACTTAAAGTGTTAAGCATGACTGTCACAACTATTATGTTTTCCAGTAAATCATAAATACGATTTTGAAAAATGAGAAATTTGTAAGTGAATGTCTGTATGCTAAAAATTTAGACTCAACTATTTTACAAATAAGTTTAAGTACAAATTCACCAATTATTTGACAGAGTTGTCTCAACAGGTTTCACATTACATTTATGTATTATTATAATCATTATTCATTGTGTAAAACTAGAGAACAGAGGAAAAGTCCAAAATATTACAAGTAGTTGAGTCTTTCTTTGGAGTGAATTGAAAGAAGGCTAAAATCAAGAACTTTGTAAAGTCTATAAATCACAAAATCACTAATTTTTACCAAGTCTTCACTTTTTTTTAAAGAGAGATTTTTGCTAATAGTGTATGTGTGTTCACTGGAGAGAGAGACAGAAAGCAAGAACTCCCCCCCACCCCCCCCACCCCCCAGGGAGGATAGCCATGCCACAGTCTCTTTTCCTCCATTCTCCTCTTTTCCTCCATTCTCCTCTCAGGATTTTGGGTACACACACACCAGGCCTGAGTTTTAAACTGCTGGGTCCAGGATTTGAACCATGGTCAACTACATAGGGGTCCAGTGATGTAACCATTACACCAACTGCTGGTCCCATTCATATTTTTATTTTTGAACATTGCTTTCAAAATTTTGTTTTAGATTTTTCTTTTTTGAGGGCTTATTTCTTTATTCACAGTAGAATACTGTGGTCTTACAAGAACTCACAGTTAGTAAAAGTTTTCTTTTCCAATCTATTCCTATGGGCTTTGTTATGTGCAATTTTATCGTTCTTTAACTGGACCAATGATTTATACTACAAATTTTTTTCCAATTATAGACCCTTAGCTCTCACAATTCTCTACGTGGAAATTACAAATATTTTTTTATTGGCTATGTTAAGATTATCTTTATTTTCAAAAAAATCCATCCTCATTAATTTATGGTGCCTGACTTTTATGGAGGGTTTTTGGTGCCTGATTATTACTTTGTTTTTCTTTAGTATTGTACTTTGCAGTAAAGAACATCATTGAAATTTAATATATACTCCTAAAATAGCCAGTAGATTGAATTTTGAATGTGTACAACATAATGTAATATGTTGATGGTGATGAATATGTTTATATTCTCTCTTTGTTTATTACAATGTATACGTGCTTTTTTTTCCAACAAAAACTCTAGATTTTATTTTTGCAGGTTTTTTTTAAAGAATTATTTTATTTAACTTTATTTATTATTATTATCATTATTATTTTCCAGTTTGATCAGAGAGAGACACAGAGAGAGAGAGGAAGTGAGAAAGAAACCACCAGGTTTGAGACTTGAACCGTGGTCAGTCATGTGGGAGTCCAGTGCCTTTAACCATCATGCCACTTGCTGGCCCCCAGATTTTATTTCTCAATCACAGGTCTTTTGTCTGAATTCAGACTCAATTACCAAAGTAACAGAGATATATAAGAACAAGAACAGAAAAACATTCGTACTGAGCCCTACAATGACATATAATGATTATATATAAATCAGAAATTATAAGAAAAATAGAGAGGCAAAGCATTAATGAGACAAAGAAATGTGGTATTATCTGTTGAAGATACTTTTATAGTTTTATCAATTGGAATAGGGAGAAATGTTCACATGTTGAAATATTCAGTTTGTAAACTAAATAATGTGATTGAATGTAAAAGAGAAAATGAAATAAAAATGTAAAAAAAAATTATAATAAGAAAAGGGGGAAAAATCATTGTATCACTTATATTGTACTCGAGTGAATGGAAAGCCTGACCAGTACTGCACATGTTAATGATGAACTAGTAAAAAGAGGAGGAAGAGTTGGGCTAGGAGTAGGATAGAGGTGAAGGAGAGGGGGTAAACAAGAAAGTGGGGAAGTAGGGGACAGGAAGAGAGAAGAAAAGGAAGGGAAAGAAAGGACTAACAGCATGTGAAAGACAAAAATCCAGTTGAGACAAAGCATATCTTAAGATAGCAGGTACACTGTCTTCCATATTTTGCATTTAAAGATTTAAATCCAACAAAGCAAATTCTCAAAGCCTCAGTAACAGAATGACAAAATAAAATGAAAATGTAGCTCAAATACAGAAATAAACTGAGAACCATGTCTATCATTCTGGGCTCCTAGACTGGTTAGCAAAAGTCAAAGGGGTTGAAAAGGAATAGACAGACAACTGTCAATAGAGTCATTCGGTATGATCGGTTTCTTTCACCACGTATACAAATTGATTGGAGTTACGTTGATGTGACCAATAAACTCATAGGATCAAGGGCAAGGAGAACAATGTTTTGTACACACTCTTACTAGTTGTGTGAAATTTAATTGCCTCAATCTTACCAACAAAAGTAAGGTAACACTACCTACTTTGGTAAAGGTTGTTGTGAATATTAATAGAGACAGTATTTGTAACATCCTGAGCACAAGTATAGCTTGATAAATGACAGCTCTTATTATTTGTCTTTGGGAAAAATAAAGCATCACTGAAATTATAAATGGGAACATAGTAGTATGATTCAAGTTTCCCCTTCTTTTTTTAAAAAAATATTTATTCATTTTTAATTATTTATTTGATTTTATTAATTAATTCATTTCTTTTAATCTGACCAGAGAGAGACAGAGAGAGAGAGAGAGAGAGAAAGCAAGCCACCAGGTCCAGGACTTGAACCATGGTTAGCCATGTGGGACTGTCTGGCGCCTTAACCACCACGCCACCTGCTGGGCCCCCTAGGGTTCCCCTTCTTTAGGGCTGTTTGTAGGATCCTGCTTCCAAAGAGTCTCCAAACCCATCAACCCTAATAGGTTTGAAACCATAAGATTAGTTGATTAGTAAGGCGGATTTTTCCTATATATTCTAATACCTACCTCATAGGTAGTGCGTACACCAGTAAGGGCAAATTCCTCACCTGCCTTGGTCACGTAAGCCTTTCCACTTTGGGTAACAAAAATAATCTCCGAGGTATAGAAACTATGAGAAATCTTCTTTATGGTATCATGAAGGTCAGCTATTAATTGAAAAGTATTGCCATCATCAACTGAAAGCCAGACCTAAGAGAATAAAAAGATAATCCCTCACTAAAGAGCTGCCATGTTGCAGTGAGCAAATGATCTGTCAGCCCAATCTTAGTTCTACACAGCATAGTCTCTCCCATGCCCCGAATTCTTCTCTCTCTCATGTACCCACTTCTTACCTGTGTGGTCTACCTTTTGTTTCCACCTAGGGTTTGTATGACAGTGTTCATACCAGAATCATCACCAGGCTTCAGAATGCATGGTGAATGTATGAAAGAACAAAATCATTCCTGACACCTCCCAAATACATTTCCCTTATTCATGAAAGGATGGAGTGCTGGATGTCTTTGGAAAAGGGGGAGGGAGTGTGCCCCATTTTGACATGAAGCTCCATATTCTAGGTATCTGGCAAGTAAGTATGCAAATACGTTTGCATGGAAGATTTCATTGTTGTTTGCAAAGGATGTATCCTGGGGGATTAACCCTAGTTAATCCTAGAATCATTAACTCCATTATAGCATACAAATTTCTCTATTTCCTTATCTTTAGGTAAGAGATGTTTGAGAATAAATAAGATAACGTATTAAACGAACCCTGCTAGCTCTCTCCTTTAATAGCCTATGTCTCTTGGACCAGCAGTTAGTGTAATGGCTATGTTGCTGGACTCCCACGTAGTTGACTGCAGTTTGCGTCCTGGACCCGGTGGCTTAAAACTCACGCCGGGCGCATGTGCGTGTGTGCCCAAGATCCTGAGAGGAGAATGGAGAAGAAGGGACTGTGGTGTGGTCATCCCCCTTGGGGGGTGATTTCTCGCTTTCTGTTTCTCTGTCTCTCTCTGTCTGGCAAGTGCACGCGCCCTATAGCAAAAAAGGATGTATCCTGGGGGATTAACCCTAGTTAATCCTAGAATCATTAACTCCATTATAGCATACAAATTTCTCTATTTCCTTATCTTTAGGTAAGAGATGTTTGAGAATAAATAAGATAACGTATTAAACGAACCCTGCTAGCTCTCTCCTTTAATAGCCTATGTCTCTTGGACCAGCAGTTAGTGTAATGGCTATGTTGCTGGACTCCCACGTAGTTGACTGCAGTTTGCGTCCTGGACCCGGTGGCTTAAAACTCACGCCGGGCGCATGTGCGTGTGTGCCCAAGATCCTGAGAGGAGAATGGAGAAGAAGGGACTGTGGTGTGGTCATCCCCCTTGGGGGGTGATTTCTCGCTTTCTGTTTCTCTGTCTCTCTCTGTCTGGCAAGTGCACGCGCCCTATAGCAAAAAACCTCTCCAAAAAAAAAAAAAAATAGCCTATGTCTCATGAAAATGAAGACTCCTGGTGTTTAAATTTTCTTTTTAAATTTAATTTTAACAAGTTACATTTGAAAATTAGATAATTAGATATTTTTTCTTTTTTTTCAATTTAAAACATTATAAATGTGGATGAAGTATCTTAGACCACGATCCAAATAATTCACTTTTGATGCCTCATGTGATATAATCCCGGTTTCCTCTATCTCCTCCCAGAGGTGACCAATTGCCAACTTGAAAATTCTGTGTGTGTGTGTATTATCTCTCTCTATATATTATAAGCGTATATAAACACCCATATATACATATAATACATATATATGTGTGGGGGGGTGTGTATCCACAGAATATACACTGCATTGGTTTCATTTTATGGTAGGGAAGGTAGAAAGATATGTTCGAATGCAGTTGATTTTTTGACTTGGGGACTGAGCACTGTCTGCTTCATGGATCTGAATGTTACAAACACCCAGAAAATGCATTGAGTAACACATGGGTCCTTCTGTCATTCAATATGCAATGCTCATTGCTCATATGGTTCAATTCATAATCCTGAACTTGTAATACATGAGCCTCCATTCTCACTCTTGCTTTGGACCCTGCAAATGTTACTGGTGATCACCAGTAGAGGGTAGGAGTGCAAGTGGGAAGGTGTTTTGAGCAGTGTGTTCAAAATGGTGTCAAACCGTACCTGCTGTTCTGTAAGTCATATTTACCACGCGACAGTGTATCTCAGTCACTTTATGGTTGTTTATGTGGATCTCCACATTTTTCTATACTGTTACATAGTACCTGCTTTATGAATATATTTGACTTACTTGATTTTCTTACTAATAGAAATTTAAAGGTTGTACCAAAATTTTCAGTTATAAGCAAAACTGCAGTGAACATTAACTTACTTACCTGCCTTTCTGTACTAACAGAGATTGTTAAAGGGTGACCTCTACAGAAAATACTAAAAAAATTAAGCTACAAATTGTGTTATCAGTAATTTTGCAATTTTAATAGATGCTTTTAAACTGCTCTTCAATTTAGCCAAGTCAATGTATATCCCCACAAGTACTATATGAGAGCATCTATTTCTCCAAACTTCACCAATATTAGATATCATCAAAATTTTATTTTTAATTTTTACTGATTACCTGAGTGAGGAAAAAGTACAGCATCTCATTGCTTTTCTTTCCTAAATATTTTAAATTATTGATTCATGCATACCTTTCTTTTCCATTATGTATTTAATGATATAATGAACATGTGTGAATTGACAGTTCAACCTAAGAATTAGTATATTACTAATGATTTATATCTATGTATTTCCCCACACTGACTATCCCACTGACTTCCCCTCAGAGATGCTCAATATTTCGAACTTTGTGTTTTTTGTTTCCTTGCTATTCTTAAAATTTTATGATATATTGGGGCTGGCAGGTGGTGTGGTGGTTAAGGGTTCTAGACTCCCACATAGCCAACCATGGTTCGAGTCCTGAACCTGGAGACTTGCTTTCTCACTTGTTCTCTCCCGCACTCTATCCATCTCTGGTCAAAAAAAATAAATAAATAAATGTATAAATAAAGTTAAATAAAATAATTCATTAAAAAGTTAGCATACATGTGTGTATGTTTAAATAGCATATTATTGCTGGGACCAGCAGATGGCATAATGGTTACATGGCTAGACTCCCACTTAGTCGACTGCAGTTTGAGTCCAGATCTGATGGCTTAAAAACTCACTCCAGATGCATGTGCATGTGTGGCCAAAATCGTGAGAGGAGAATGGAGGAGAAGGGATTGTGGCGTGGTCATCCCCATGCAAGGGGGTGATTTCTCACTTTCTGTCTCTGGTGAGTGCATGTACCTTATAGCAAAAATCTCTCTAAAAAAAATAAAAGAACATATTACTTAGTTTTTGTTATTTTTGCTCCTTATAAAAAAGATTATCATACCATATATTGCTTTGTAGAACTTACTCCTCCATCAACATTTTTCACTTATGTTCAAACATGTTGCATAGAGCTCAGCTCATTTGCTTTTGTACTGCTGTATAATAGTTCGTTATGTGAATGACCTGTAGTTTATTTACTCATTCTCCTATTCATGAACATCTGGATTATTTTCAGTTAATTCATGATATTACTAGCAGTGCCATGATGAACATTTTAAAATAACTTCCCCTTATGTTTCTCTTGCTGAAAAGTGTAATTAGTAAATTACAGAATATGCAAATATTCAAATTTCCAGGATAATGGTAACACCATATTGCTTTCCAAAATAGTTGTACTAATTTACTCTCCCATTAGCAATGTATAAGAGACCTGATGGGCCCATATTTTCTCCAACATTTTATATTGTCAGAATTAATTGTACTAAATATATGAAAATGATATTGTATTACATTCTTTTTTGAAAGGATTACTTTTAAAATTCCATTTGTTATTATTATTGTTATCATGCTTATTTCCAATTCACAGTCCCCCAACTCAGAAAAACGTGTTCCGCTGAGCAGGTCCCAGCACATGTGGACATCCACTTGTTTCAGCACCTTTTTTTGAAAATACTATCTTTGCTCTATTGTATCACTTTTGCTCTTTTGTCAAAGATCAGTTAATTATATGTATGTATGTGGGTCTATTTCTGGGCTATTCTGTTCCATTGAAATATTGATTGATTCATTCATTAATTCTTTCATTTATTACCAATAGCTCTCTAAGACTTTCACAGTTTTGCATTTTACATTAAGGCTTGTTATGATGTGTGAGCTTTTTTTGGTTGTTTAGTTTTTTTGCATGTGGACATCCAGTTGTTTCAGTGCCTTTTTAAAAAATACTATCTTTGCTCTATTGTATTGCCTTTGCTCTTTTGTCAAAAATCAGTTGATTATATGTATATATGTGAGTGTATTTCTGGCCTTTATATTCTGTTTCATTGAAATATTGATAGATTGATTGATTCATTCATTTATTGCCAATATCACACTGTTTTTATTACTATTGCTTTATAGCATGTTTTGAAGTACAGATCTTGTTATTCCTTTATTTTGTTGTTCTTCAATATTATGGTGGCCTTTGGCATCTCCATATAAACTTTAGAATCAGAATGTCAATATCTATGAAATTACTGAGATTTTAATTGAGAGTGCATCAAATCTATAGATTGAGATGGGTAGAACTGGTATCTTGACAATATTGAGTTGCCCTATTCATAAAATGAGATATCCTTAAGCTAAGAGATTACCTTCAGCCATGTTTAGTCCACTAAAGAGCTCCTCAAAGTTACTCTTCACTTCTGTTATGGTGTGTCTATTCTCTAGGGTTTTTTTTTTTGTTGTTGTTGTTGTTCTTTCTTAGAATTACCATTTCTCTGTTTATGCTATCTATCTGTTTTTTCATGCTAGTTTATCTTTAGTATCTTAATCACAGTCTTTAAAGTTCAAGACTGATAATTTCATCAACTCTGCCACTTAGGAGTATGGTTCTGATTCTCACCTGTCTTTCTAAACTGTTTTTGCCTTTTAGTACAGCTTGTACTTTTCTCTTAATAGTGAGATGTAATGTACGGGTAGAAGGAACTGCTGTGAATAGGCTTTAATAATGTGGTGAGATAAGGTATGGGGTGGGGAGGCAGTCCTATGGATAAGTCACAGTCTTTGAGTGAGCCTTTATATAGACTATGAATTTCACATATGTTTCTCAGTTCCTTTCCTCTCATTTGGTGTAGAAGGAGGGCTAGGTAGT